CTTCTTTATGCACCAAGAGCTTGTAACACTCCGAAGAGAAAGAAAAAATGTTAATCGCATCATATGACCCCTTTAAAGAATATTTAGTCAGCACATTATAAATAGGCTTCTTGTAAAGGTCATACATTACTTAACATTTACAACATTTGCAAATGTAAACAATAGTAATATCTTGCATTATAAATGCTATTTTAACTGTGTTTAAACAGAAATGATTTGACAACTAATTTATATAGGCTATATTGCTTATGAAACTTTACTCTCTCAGCGTAAATTAATGGTACTATATAACATAATTGTAGGTCATTGAATAGTTGAAAAGGTTTAATAAACTGTTAACAAACTGCATAAAAAAATGATTAAAAAACGCTGTCTACAAACAAATAAAGAGAAGCATTGTAGATAGTCAATTCCTCTTTCTTTTAGTTTCATTTTGTCATTCATTTGATTTGACATAGATGTTTACACGGTTAAATTACCTGAAAGCTGCCTGGACTCCTTTTGCTCGTCGGGTGAGTCTGCGCTCAGCTGACCGCTCGGACAGGTGCTTTTATACCTGCGGGGAGGGGCTTAACCGCCACTTCCGGTTTCCCTGCTCATGAATATTAATTAAACCCTGACGTTCGCTTCGCGACTCTAAACTTCAAACTGTTGAATAAACACGGTTTTATTAAAATGAATAAACCTACGAGCCTGGAGACTGCAAGAAAGCTATAGCACCACGTTAGATCTATTACATATGTATGAAGTAAGCCTTTACAGAAATTTGCACACTGGCAAGACCTTGCATTCTTCATTTTCTAGAGCCATTTGTCATTCGTTTTTTAATACACTAACTAAACCCTTTCTATAGCACTTTATCTTATTTGTAACAGTAGGTCATGATGTTTCTCACGCCCTTCGTAAACACTGAGAGGGTGTGTGTTTGTTTTCTCCTCTTATAGTCTCTCTTCTGTCTGCAAAAAGGTGTAAAAAGTTCAATGCTGATTTGACAGTGATTGTAAGCCTCTAATACATTCTTACATCCATGGTTACTACACTTGTACTACAATAAAACAATGGTTACTTTTCGTAGAATTCATATTCGCAAAACTAGACATATTTTACGCATGTAAGTTTACATTTGTGGTTACCATGGTTTAACTATAGTAACCATGTTTTTTTTTGTTTTATTAGTGGTAAAACCATAGTTAATTTTCGTAAGGGTATGGCCAAGGATTAAGACATGAATATTAATTAAGCTGTTTAAAGGATTCGTGAACCCGCTCCAAAGTTCCGATCAAATGATTCGCGATCTGATTGGAACGCTTCGAAACAGTGAATCATTTTGCGATGCAATGTTTTATCCAATTCTGAGTTTTCGAAAAGTTTAATAAATAAAAGAAATGATTTGCAATATGCGCTTCGAAGTCTGAATCAAAAGATTCGCCAACCCGCTCCGAAGTCCCGATCTGAATCAAATGATTCACGGCCCTGCACCGAAGTCCCGATCTAAATCAAATGATTCGCGAACCTGCTCCAAAGTTCCGATCTAAATCAAATGATTCATGAACCCGCTCCGAAGTCCCGATCTAAATCGAATGATTCACGAACCTGCTTCGAAGTCCCAATCTGAATCAAATGATTCGCGAACCTGCTCCGAAGTCCCAATCTGAATCAAATAATTCGCGAACCTGCTCCGAAGTCCCAATCTGAATCAAATAATTCGCGAACCTGCTCCAAGGTTCCGATCTAAATCAAATGATTCATGAACCTGCTCCGAAGTCCCGATCTAAATCAAATGATTCATGAACCTGCTCCGAAGTCCCAATCTGAATCAAATGATTTGCGAACCCGCTCCAAAGTCCCGATCTGAATCAAATGATTCGCGAACCTGCTCCAAGGTTCCGATCTAAATCAAATGATTCACGAACCTGCTCCGAAGTCCCGATCTGAATCAAATGATTCGCGAACCTGCTCCGAAGTCCCAATCTGAATCAAATGATTCGCGAACCTTCTCCAAGGTTCCGATCTAAATCAAATGATTCACGAACCCGCTCCGAAGTCCTGCTCTAATTCAAGTGATTCACGAACCCGCTCCGAAGTCCCAATCTAAATCAAATGATTCACGAACCCGCTCCGAAGTCCCGATCTGAATCAAATGATTTGCGAACTCGCTCCAAGGTTCCGATCTGAATCAAATGATTTGCGAACCCGCTCCGAAGTCCCAATCTGAATCAAATGATTCACGAACATATTCTTGGAGGGCCTGAGGGTGAGAGGTTTTTTAGCAAATTTTCATTTTTAGGTGAACTATTCCTAAAAACAACAGGCCCTATGTCAAACAGACTGCATTATGCAATTAAACACATTTCAAACTAAAGTCATATGACTGTCATGCAGGGGTGAATGGATGATCAGCCAATTCTGTCTGATATTACTCGGATTCTGTTGCTAAAAACATTATGGATCATATTATGCAGCATGAAATATAGTTTGCTTACATGTAAATAACAAAACCTAACATAATGCACATAAAGATGACGGTTACCGCCGGTGTAAAACTGCTGACTCAAGGTGCTCAGAAATCATCAGGCTCTGTCATGATGTCATGTTTTTCCATGATGTTACAAAGCAACTCGTGCGACTGAAACCCTTATGCTGGGTTATTACAGTTTAAATGCAATTTACATGCTCATTTACATTTGTGTATAAATGTGTGGGCTGATGCATTACCCATCAAATATTTTATTTCATCATGGTCTTTCATTTGTCAAGTCAAATACTATTCTTATTTGTATAAGCTATTAAAAAAATTGTATAATTAATAATAATAATAATAATAATAATAATACTTTATAATAATATAATTGTTTTTACTATATTTTATTTATTTAGCATATTTCTTTGCTTAAATAACAACAACAACAATAATAATAATAAATTAATTAATTAATAACAACAATTATTATTTTATTATGTATTATTTTTTTTGGCATATTTTAGCTTATAATAATAATAATAATAATAATAATAATAATAGTGTATTATTTAGAGCTTAATAAAATACATTTTAAATTATTTGATTTTTATTATTTATTTTTAATTAGCATATTTCCCTTTTTTTTTTTACTTAAAAAAGTATATTAATACTACTACTACTACTAATAATAGTAATTATTAATATTGTTTTTATGCCATTGTATTATTTCTTAACTTTATATAAGTACCTGGTATTCCGTGTGTGCAGTAATACTGCATATTGTGCTCAGTATTCATACTGTATACTGTATATATAGTGTGTTATGCTATTTTTAGCCAGAGAAGACGCTCCACTGAAGACAGAGGTGAGGAAGCTCCTGTTTTTGGCTGACGCTGATTAGTGTCTCGTGAGGCTCCTCCTGTGGCATTCTGGGAATGAAATATCATGCTGAGATACTGTGCATCAGGTATTGTTCTTAAACGCTTCCCCAGGATCATTTCCAAGAGCTGGTGAGTGGATTATGTGTTCATCTCTCTCTCTGTGGGAACCTGATGAGTTTCCAGAAACCAGTGCTCTGTGATTTCCATTACTTCACACGGCTCGGTGCAGGTTATCATGTTAGTTCAGCTTAACCAGGACTGAATAGAGAGCAGAGACGTGTGAAGGGCCGTGAGGGACAATAACACACTGATGTGCTGTGCTTTACTGTTGCTGTGTGCTTGAGATTTGTGCTTGAATATAAATGCAGCTTATTGCATTTCAGTACCAAAATAAACTATAGTAGGGCTGGGCCATCCAAAGCTTAACATCAACGACACATAAGAAAAAGAAAAATAATTATTTATTTTTTATAATAAACATATAAACATTAATGGATAATAATAATAATAATACTCATTATTATTATATTTGTTAAATAATTATAAATAGTCATATAATATATTATTATTATTATTATTATTATTATATTTTAATAAATAAAAATAGTAATAATAAAATATAAGCTATAAAATATGCTATAATATAAACAATACTGTTGTCATTCTATTTGTTTTTGCTTAAATAATTATTATCATTATAGTGTATTTTTATTGCTTATAATAAATATAATTATTTCAACTCGTTATTTGATATAATCTTTACAGTGGTGGCCAAAATGATTAGAACACTAGTATTTTCAGCAGCTAAAAATGGTTTTAAGTCAGTTATTTCTATCTTTTGCTGTAGTGTGTCAGTAGGAAATATCAGTTTACATTTCCAAACATTCAAGTGACAAGTGAGTGACGTGACATGTGGCCAAGTATGGTGACCCATACTTGGAATTAGTGCTCTGCATTTAACCCATCCAAA